CTCTTACACTGTTGGTGGGAATGTAGACTAGTACAACCACTCTGGAAAAAATTTGGAGGCTACTTAAAAAGCTGGACATCGATCTACCATTTGATCCAGCAATACCACTCTTGGGGATATACCCAAAAGACTGTTACTCCAGAGGCACCTGCACATCCATGTTTATTGCGGCACTATTCACAATAGCCAAGTTATGGAAACAGCCAAGATGCCCCACCACTGACGAATGGATTAAGAAAATGTGGTATCTATACACAATGGAATTTTATGCAGCCATGAAGAAGAACGAAATGTTATCATTCGCTGGTAAATGGATGGAATTGGAGAACATCATTCTGAGTGAGGTTAGCCTGGCCAAAAGACCAAAAATCGTATGTTCTCCCTCATATGTGGACATTAGATCAAGGGCAAACACAACAAGGGGATTGGACTATGAGCACATGATAAAAGCGAGAGCACACAAGGGAGGGGTGAGGATAGGTAAGACACCTAAAAAACTAGCTAGCATTTGTTGCCCTTAACGCAGAGAAACTAAAGCAGATACCTTAAAGCAACTGAGGCCAATAGGAAAAGGGGACAGGACTAGAGAAAAGGTTAGATCAAAAAGTATTAACCTAGAAGGTAACACCCACGCACAGGAAATCAATGTGAGTCAATGCCCTGTATAGCTATCCTTATCTCAACCAGCAAAAACCCTTGTTCCTTCCTATTATTGCTTATACTCTCTCTACAACAAAATTAGAAATAAGGGCAAAATAGTTTCTGTTGGGCATTGGGGGGGGGAGAGAGAGGGGATGGAGTGGGTGGTAAGGGAGGGAGTGGGGGCAGGGGGGAGAAATGAACCAAGCCTAGTATGCACATATGAATAATAAAAGAAAAATGAAAAAAAAAAGAAACCCATCTTGATAGTTGTTTTAATAAAACTAAATTAGAAGTATCTATAAAAGAAATGTATAGTTAAGTGACCATATCTGTGGTATTATAAAACCAGAAACATCCCCAGACAATCCTCAATTACTAAAAATTCTTTTGAACTCAGGACTTAAACTTTGAGCCGCTCCACCAACCTTTTTTTTTTGGATGGGTTTTTTCAAGATAGGGTCTCACAAACTATTTGCCTGTGGTGGCTTTGAACCATGATCCTACTGATCTCTGCCTCCCGAGCAGCTTGGATCAGGCGTGAGCCACCAGCGCCTGGTACATGTTTTAACACATTTTCAGGCTGGTGGAGTGGCTCAAGTGGTAGAACACCTTCCTAGCAAATGTGAGGCCCTGAGCTCAAATCCGAGTACTGCCCCCCAAAAAACCATTTTTAATTAGCCAAAACTTGTTACCTTATAACTAATTTTCAATGACTTCAAAAATAATACTCATCTTTATACCACATTTTTATTTTTTTTTCTTGATTTTTCTGCTTCTAATACAGATGTTTTCTTTCGATTGATACATGTGTTTCTTCAACTAAGCTTTATAGGCCTACATGGAACAAAATGAGCCTTTCTCCACCTTGAAACCTATGATTTGCAGGAAATATTCCTTTCAAAAACGAACTCAATTCTTACAGGGGAACAATGTGCTAAATGCTGTAACTTCTAACATAGATTGCTTAAGGTCAAGATATACATGTGTTTCTGGAACTCAGCTGAACAGGCCTATTTGGAACAAAATAAGCCTTTCTCCATTTTGAAAACTATGATTTCCACAAAGTATTCCTTTCAAAAACTAACTCAATTCTAATAGGGAAACAATGTGCTAGATGGTCCTGCTTTATACCACATTTTTAATACAGAAGATAATTCAGAATTTGTTAAATCTGTATTGTCAATAACCTAAGAGACTTTAAGGTCAAGTAGTAGGTATTAAGGCAAAACTACAAAACTTAGGAAACATTTTTAGTCCATTTATAGATATTCACATAGGGTAGCAGTTATAAAATGCCTTTGCTTTCATGTACTTAGTTTAAAAGGGGGGAAGGGGACATAATTTAAAATTTCTGTTCTAGAGAAACATAGTATTAAAAAGGGAATACTTCCTTTCTTTCCAGCACTAATAGCATAGCCCAATTACACTGATCACTTTGATTCCTACCTGACCCTGTAGGTCGAGATTTACAAGTCAATGCCCAGAAGGAACTACATTTTAATTTTGGTATTATTTTCATGTCTCTCTCTCTCATCCAGTAGCAGTTTTCTGAGTAAGAACATTAGATGCAGACAAAACACTAACTGCAGTCAAGAGTAGATCTAATTTAACCAAAGAGAAAACCATTTGCTATCACTAGCAGTTTCCTCATTTTTGAGTATTTGGAAAGTTGTATTTTAATTAAACTGTAAATAAACAGCAACTTACCATCACGTTTCATCAAAGTTCATTTGTAAATCAGTTGTTTTCCATTAAAACATTATACCATGCTGGTCTGTAAAGATTACTTAACTTAAAAACACAATAATTATAGTTCTGCCCATCTTTTCTAATACTACCTCGATGAGCAAACCATGTATCAAAATGTGGACAAAGTAGAAACACAGCCCCGAGTCCTAGCAAAGGAGTCACAAAGGGGGGAGTGGCTAAGTGGAAGCATGACTCTCATTAACTTTTTTAATTGACATGTAATTGTATGTTTATGAGGTCCAGTGTGATAATTCAATACATGTATATGACACACAGAGATCAAGCCAAGGGCAAATTCAGTATTCCATTTCCTTTATTAACCATTTAGCATCTTTGTGGTGGGAACTCCTCTATTCTAGCTCTTTGTAAAATTTATACTAAATGGCTGTAAACTGCAGTCATTCTACTATGCTGTCGAACATGAGAACATATTCCTCCTATTTAACTGTACTTTGGTGTCCATTATCTAATCTTCTCTGCTCCCCCTCACCCCTCTAATGACCAGAATTTAACTTGACTTTTATGAAAGCAACTTTTTAAGCTCCCACATTGTGAGTGGTTTTGTGCCTGGGGAAGCACAGCTGGAGAAGCATCTGAAGATGGTAAGCAGATGAAAGTGGGCCCAAAAGCAAGGGCCACGGTAATCCACACTCCTGGGTATGATCAAGCCCTGAGAATACCAGGGCCTGCTACCCACTGGCAGGGGACAGAAGGCCAAGAAAGGCCTGTCACCACTCCCTGACTCCACCAGGTCAAGTGTTTGTCAAGTGTTTTTCCCTCCTTTAAAGAGAACTCATCCCCTTTTCTGTTTTTTTATGAATCTTGCCAAGGCTATGAATGTTTCTATGTACATGTATAAAAGCAGACTAAGCTGACCAAAATTCAAATACATGTATATACCCACATATGTGTCAAGAGCTACTATTTCTAATGCTGGCTTCTAAGGCAGAGCTACATGAAATTACTCTCATTAATATTAAAAAAAACAGTAATCAGTAATTTCCATTTAGAGTGAGTAACAACCCCTAGAGATGGAAAATATCCCAATATACAGTACTTAACATAAAAACAAAAACCTTAAAAATGGATAGTGGATAAAATGGAAAGCTCCATTATTTGTCTTAATTTCAAAAAGCACATAAATACTTCCCAGAGATTATCGAGGAAACAATAATGTTAATCATTAAATTTCATTTTTTCTAGCTTCGGAGTTGACCCCTCCCTTATAATCAACCCCCAAACAGATTCAGAACACTGGTCTTTTTTTCCCCCTCAGGAAAGTTACTACTCTTCAGCACAACTGTGAATTTCTTTGATCTCCTTTACCCCACGTCATCCTGTAAACATATGAAGTGTCCATGGCTTCAAACCATTGTGCTTCTGTTCTACTCTCCTTCTCCAACTCTGGTTTCTGCTGCACTGCCTCATTCCTTCTACAAACAACTTCCTTCACTTGATTCTGAACCAGCCTTACTGCCAAGAGCTGAAAATAGCAAAACCACACTCTAAGGGAGGTTTTGCAAACTAAGAATAATAGACTCATATACCAGTAAATAGCTAGAAGCACAGTTTACCAGAATCAAAGAATATCCTAATTTCCTATCTCATTCTTTGAATATTCTTGATCATCACAGAAAAACAAACTAAACTGAGCATGCTGGTGATACTCACAGTACTTAATTTTCTTCCCCTCAAACTCTCCACCTATAATATTTCCTCTACATGCACACATGCACGCACACTTTTGCCTCTCTCAAGACATGAGTAACAAAACATGTAATTAGCAATGCACCCCCACTACAATAAATAAATAAATAAAACCATGCAATTAGGATCCACTATATACACTTTGACAGTTCAACTGCCCCTTCCACAGCTTAAAGACCATAAAATGTATCACTTTAAGCATGACTCCCAAGATGTATTGCATCTCCTTTGCGTCAAACACAAAGCAATGACAGATCAAAGAGAACGTTAAAATCCAAAGTTATGGTCAAAAAATAAGATAAACAAAACAGTAACAGAGCTTAAGCACAGGATAAAACTGGAGCAGAAGCTGCAAAGTACTCCAAGATTTCAGGTTCAAAAGTGGGCAGGAGGCAGCTCTCATCACTAGGAGTACCAAGGACTAAGAGTGCTCCATGTGACACATAGTACTGAAGAGAGAAAACTGCTTGACACAGATCTGGGTGGTTCCCCAGACCTGCAGCAGACGAGGAAAAGAAAACAAAAGACTGCAACTTGAACACTACTTTCAATATTTGCCACCAACTATAATCCTTTGTCAATAAGAAGAATGAAAATAGTTTCTGCCACTTCTTTGTAGAAGACTAGTTTATTCTAACAAAAATCAACAATAGAGCATCTTTAGACAGAACCAACTCCTAAAACTGGAAACTGGTTGAAATATTAAAAATTAAAGTATCCATTAGACAAAATTTCATTCTTAAGTACAATGTGAAAATCAGCAGTATTTAATTGTAACTACACTTCCAGGCAAACCCTAATGAAATTTCTGAATTATACTACTGAAAAAATTCATAAAATCTTAACTATTTTTAATAAACAAAAAGTAGAAAAAAATTAAGTATGATAGTAGAAATTCTCACCTGTGTTTGGACTGTGATCTTTTCCTTCTGGAATGGGATTTTGAGCTAGACCTGGACTTTGAGCGAGTATGGGAACGAGATCGACCGCCTTTTCTTTCATTGCTCTTTCCAGACTCTGGGAGGAAAAAACCACTTTGCAGTGTAAGCTCAGAACAATTAAAGATCCCAGTTAATAATTAGGCACAAGTGGAATATACCACATATAGTGCAAGGGGCCTACTCTCTGCACATCCTCCTCCTGTGCAATTATCCTTCAGAAACATCCAAGAAAGTCATTGCATAAACTCGTTGAGTGCAGCCACCCTGCAGCAGTACATATAAACCAGATGATTATAAACAGCTGTTCGTAATATTTTGTTGCTGCCATAACGTACGATTAAAACATGTCTGTAATTCCTATGACAGTGATTGTCACCTTCCTATATTTATTTTGCTAGAATTGAAGCTTAAATTCCAAGCATTAATTTAGAAAATCCACTCAAAGGTAAAAACCTAGACATTTTTATTGCATTTAAAATTTTATTTAGCAACACAAAAGTATGAACAATGTTCCTTGCTAAAACTGAATTTCTATATTTTTCTAAATCATGGGCTCTCTTTTCTAGTTTTAAAATTAAAACTTTGAAGGAAAGTAAACCTGATATACTTACTCTTTTCTTTTTAGCCTCACAATAGCACTCATACTTTATTTTCAGCACAACAGGTCTGAACACTGATTTTTGTACCAAAACCTAAAGAGCTAATTAACTCAGGCTAACGTGCCTCAATTTAGTATTATGGAAAAAAAAAGACGATTTATGCTAAATCATTCTTTGAGTAAGCCACTTACTATTTCTTGAGTTTCAGTCTTCTTATTGGTAAAATGAAGGGACTGAACACACTTTCTAAATTCCTTTCAGTTCTAAGATTCTAGGATCTTTAAACTGTGACCTATGTAACAACGCAATGGCCTTACCTGGTTCAATAGCTGCTGAGATAAATGACTGAGCCTCTCGTACTCGCTTCATTACTTCTTCTAACTCCTTAGCTGCAGCCTGAGGTGTCATCTCAGGAGGCTTTACTATTGCATTGTTGGAGTGATTTATTCTAAATTAAAAATATTAGCATATCACAAATACACACATCTTGTCAAACATGAAACAATAAAATGTTTATGTATGCCATACATATTTACAATTTGAAGACATCTCAAAAACACATTAAGAATGATATAGCTAAATACAGAATAACGAAAAGCAACCTCAAAATTATGACTAACCTCTCACCTCTACCTCCCAAAAGAACAAAAAGCTAAACATTACCCAGTTCTTTAACAACAAAAACAGACCACAGCAAGTATTTTCCACATACCTTAGAATTATAATAAACTACAATGTGATATCAATAAAATAAATCGCCTCTATGATTAAAGGTTTTACTGATAATCTCCGCAGGCTGGCAGGATGAAGAGAACACTGTATACTACACGTACCATTTTAATCAACCCTGTCCCACAGCTAAGTCAGACAATTTGAATCTGATAAAGCTTCCTCTACCAGGCAAGAGTGGCTTCTATACAAAGGCATGTGATGTGTCTCTCTTTGCCCCTTCCACATTGAGATGATCACCCACTAAGAACAGTTATTTATCCTTTAAAAGCCAAATCCTGATCAAACTGTGTAACTAAGACAATCACCTATCATATTCAGAGAAAACTAAGTTCACATTAATAATCTGCAGGAAGTACAATTTCTGGTCTTGAGTATCTGAATGGCTACCCAAAATTTTATAAGCAAGGATTTGAACAAATGTTTAAAAAGTCAAAATATCTATTTTTAAACACATCTGGGTACTTAGTATTATTTTCTTCCTGGGATTTGAAATTTACCAAAATATTTATTACCAGATATATTGTAATTCAACCCACATGTTAAGCTGCTCAATAGTCTAGACTCCTATTATAAAACCAACCTGAGTTAAAGGTCATAGAAAAAACCAGAACCATCATGTTAAGATATAGAAATAATGGTAATATTAAATCAGAACTTAAAAACAGAATGAGAAAAAAAATGCCTTTTAAAATACAACTTTGGGAATTTAAAGGCTAAAATATCATGTTTTTCGTTTAGACTTAAGTCTTCCTTTCCACAAATTGCCATTACTATTAAAAAGGGGAAAAAAAAGCCTTAATTATATTTTTTATATTTTTTCAAATCATTAAAATATTTTTGTTTAGAATTTCTTACTTCAGTGGCCTGTCTCCAAACATAACTCCATTAAAAGCAAGGGCCCTTGGTACAGAATTTTGGTCTGCAAATTCCACAAAAGCAAACCGAGTTGGCTGAGTCTCATCACCTGCCATCCGTACAAACTTCACTTCTCCAACTTGTTTAAAAAATTCAAGTAGTTGATCAGCTGTCGTTGTCTGAGAAAACAAAGTGACACATTAGTAGCATGTTCTTTTTAAGAAATCAGGGAACAGTACTTTATCAACCAATAAGATTTTTAAGAGAAAGTAAGAGGGACTGTTACTTGGTTTCTTCTAGTTACCTGGGAATTCAAATTTCCAACATAGACTGTTCTCCTAATCTCATCAATTTTGGAAGGATCTACATTTCCCATAAGAGGTGGCTGTGGGATCTCTCCAAGTGTTGCTATGTTGGGGTCCAGTGCTGCTGCCGGTATAGCTCCCAAGCTGCTAAGTGAATCACCAAGCTATATAAAAATAAATAAATAAATAAGCAAATAAGCACAAATTATCTATTGTATCCAAAATTACCATCTCTTATCTTGAGAAGAATGGATCAACTCAACAAACTCAACAAGAATGAAAGTAGAACAAGGACTCCTAACTTTAAACCATGGAAATTTCTGAACTGAGAGTTCAGTCACATTAGTTTTGAGCATAACTGAAAGATAATATATTTCTTAAATGTTTGAGTATTTAACAACTTTTAAACTCAGCATTAGTAATGAACAATTTATTCTCATTATTCAAGTTTGTTCTATTTCTATAAGTAAGTTTCCATAAATGTTATATTGGATACTGAACATTACTCCTAGGAAAAACAGTAAGGTTAAGTTTCTGGAAGCCTCTGGTCACAGCATGTTCATAAAGCAATAATTACACATAACAGTCTTATGTGCACTTCTATTTGAAGGCCCTTTAATTAATATGTGTTCATTAATACTGAACTGACTCAGCAACAAGACAGACTAGCTACACTTTCTTTAGAAAAGCTAAGAGGCCTATTTAAACAGCAAATAACCAGCAAAAAGTACAAAAATTCAAAAATGTATCTTACCCCTGCTTAAAACCCTTCAGGGGCCATTAATTACCCTAAAAATAACATTCAAATGCCTCTCCATGATCTAAAAAGCTCTGCTTAATAGAAAAATATTTTTGCCATGTGTGCACCTTGTTACACTTTCTCAATCTCAGATAAATGCTTGTGAGATACTCTTCTTCATTACCAAGGCTACAGATCATCTCGCATTTTTAAATGGATTTGTCCTCATGAACTGGCAAGTTACATAGAGTCTCCAATTCTCTGCTATCTATTGCATTTTAGCAACCAACTTTTTAATGAATAATGTATTTGAGTCCTTTAAGTGAATCCCCAATTACTTTTCTAGTAATTCCAAAAGGTAGCTCAATTCAGTAATAACATGGGAGGGGAAGGAGAACTTAAAAGATTCTAAATCTCCTCCACTAAAAAAAATTAACAGGCCCAAAGTAGAAATAATTTTCTAAGCTCTTTATTCATCTAATCACACAGGTTCCATGTTCACCCTTTCTTAAGAGGGCTTATAGTACTTACTGTAGTCAAGGGATTTGGGGTTGGTATGGGAAGCAATCCTGCACCAGGCATCAGACTTGTCATGGTTGGAGCAGGAGCCAATAAAGAGAGAGCTTTGGATTCCTCAGGAATTTTACCTGCAGAGGCAAGTTCCAAACATTATGGAAAGCAGAAACACCACACCAACTTTACACTATGATTTTACAATTACCCTTGCACTTAAAAAAATAATAATAATAAATGAATCTATCTATCAGATCCGTATAAAGAAATAAATAAGAACTTAAGTCTTTCCTTTTATCCTGCTCTACTAGGAAAAATAAAAGTGAGCAAAACTTCAAAGACTAACAATTCATTAATGGAATATTATTTTAAAAAATTGAATAATGTAGACAATTATTTAACACTTTGAGCTATGGGTCACCTGTACTGGAAACTTAATGTTCATGAACCAAACGATATCAAGCATGGACGCTTTCCCAGGACGGTGTTTTCGCGGTGATCGAAAGTTGTGTTACACATGACAACCGTTCGTGTTGGCTGCATCACTAATAGCACACAGAACTCAGATACAGAAAAGAAGAACATTTTTTAAAGTTTAATCCCCAGAAATGGCAAATAACCAAATTAGTCAAAAAAAAGAAAAAGAAAAAACAAATATGTGCGAATTGTAATTTGTTCCTTAATGAGTGTCTCTATCCTACACTAAAACTATCTACTTGTGATGCAAACAATTTTGATAACCCTCCAAAAGATTCCATTCAATTTCAAATAAACAGAAGAAAATAAAAACCTACTTCATGTAATTAGCTTCAATTTAAAGGGAAGCCTACATGCATGTATTTAATAAGGCCTCTCACCAACAACATCACTGATGCCTAAAAAAATCCAGTTCCAAAGAAATATGCCTTGGGAAACTGCTAAAAAGGTGTGAGAATAACGAACAACAACAAAAAAGCTTGCTAGTCTCAGGAAACTTCTTAAAATATTAACTGTTACAATCAAGTTATGTATACTTATCTGAAAAGGAGTGGTTAAATGTCTGGCTTATAAACATTTTCAATGCCTAATAACAAGAGTAACACTAAAATAATCTTAGAAACAAAGAAATAAATGCCTATAGCCTAAAAATTGAAAAATTTACTCTGAAATATGTTCATAATTTGCCACATTTAATTGCTGAATTGTAATAAATCTTGATAGAAACAGAAACTTTCATGCTTTATCATCTCACCAAAAAAAAAATTATATAATTTCATTTCTTAAACAACTAACTAGAACCACTTTGTTCTCATTATGAACTCATCAAAAAGTGTTTTTAACTAGTGAACAAAAACAAACTGAGCTGAAATAGGAGTAGTAAAATTCTCAAAAGCAACAATGCCTGGT